GGGCTTGTATAGAAAAGGTCTAATAAAAAGGCAATTCGATAGGTCATCCATTCCCGTCCATCAGTGCACTTCGAACAGCATTGTCGAAAAAATAACGTTCATACTATTCGCAAGGGGCAGTTGACAGTGGTCACTGTCCGTGCCCCTAGAAAAAAGATTGAGGAGTTTGGCCCCCATCGTAACTAAGGTGTTTTAAAAGTAGACCACTGCTTGGTGGACGCTTAAATTAACTAAAAAGCATGCTGATGGCCGACCTTCCTATGGAAGAGTATGCAATCCTGCGAGTATATTTTATTGTTAACTACGTCTACGTAGGCGACACAGAGGAGAACGATCCACGGGATGGCAGGGCACAAAACTCACTTTCGAAACGACCCAAGCCTGATAGGTTTGATGGCAACCAATTTGGAGAACGATCTATCATGAAATCAATTAAAGAGATTGTCTACAGCATCGGTATCGTAAATGATGCCATCGAGTCAAATGGTATGTCCCAACACCGAATAGACCCCACAGTTTTGTAGGATAGCACACATAAGTGATTTCAGTGAGGCTTACAACAAGGAACAGGGTATCGCAGCGAGGTATCGGGGCAAACTTTCTCGTGAAAACGTCCCGTACATTAATCTCAATTAAAATATTTGGGAGCTTATCAAAGGAAACCGATGCAGGGGCTGAAGGAATCTCCTAATAAAAGAAAGTCCGGCCGTGCACTTAATACTAACCTTAAACAAAGTACTGTGATCAATCCAGCAATTTTAATGTCTGGAAAATTACATGGTAATAGCCTTTAGTATTTGTTTTCATTCTTTAGGGTATCCTTCCGAAGCACATCTGTTGATCGTATATTGCGATAAGTAGTCTTGAGTCGGTGGACTGCAGTATCTGTGTTTTGGGAATTTTCGATTTTCATTATACCCTACGACTCAGCTACCGACTATAATAACTTGCCAAGTTGTGCATGTTTTTGTTACCGAATTACCTTCATTTACCATTCAGATAGGCCCATATTGAACGACTTCCACACTATAGATTGTTATCCACACATTGTGCAAAATATTCTGAGATATGTCACCAATAGTAGAGGGGATAAGACAGATCGTTGATGAACGTTTACAGATCGCTAACGGACCTTAATCGTCCTGCCCTGCCTCGTGGCTCATTCTCGAACCCCGGTAGCAGACGCATAACAGCTAGTAGTTTAGGCAGATAACGTTGATGTCTAAGACAAAGGAGACTGGAATGGCCATTGCTGGCTTATTAGCCGTAATCAGCCAGTCATATACAACCCAAGGTGGTATAACACCCGAGGCTCGAACCCACGAACTCGGTGCACGTTCATTAGCGAGTGTCAATATTCCTGATCTGCACCAACAAGACAACGAGCCAGTGGCACAATGGCTAGAGCGTCGGACTTCTGACCAACGCATCGCAGGTTCGAGCCTTGGGTGGTATGATGGGCTCTTGACAGCTAATGAATCAAAAATGGCCATTCCAGTCTCTTTTATCTTTCCCTCAATGCTATCCGCATAAGACAGTTCGTTGAAAATTATTACCTAATATTTTGGGAAGTGCGTTCACCGGCCAAGCTAAGAAACATGCTGGTGCTGTTGTAACAAAGGACTAGTGGCTCAGTGCGAGAAGACTGAACTGTTAAAACACAATGATAAACCAAACGCAGGCTTGAAAAACAGACTGTCTAGACCTAGGGTTGTTTTTACCTGATTGATGACGGCTACTTATGACTATCCTTGTCACCCTTGTCCTTAAAACATATCTTTCCCGGAATAGGTTTGAACATGAAAAAATTGCCAGCTTTAGTGAATTCATAAATTTCGTGACCTCCGATTCACCTGCGTAGGATTGTTGAATATTTCTCAATAAAATTTTTAACATGAAAACGGCCAACGGCCACGATGGGTGATAAAACCAAACAGTCCGTAAAAACGCATAACACAACCGTCTGTAGGGGGCTTAGTAGTGGGTATACTCAAATCATCAGGTGCTCAATCGTCAGGTCGAATCCCAGGTTGGAGGGAAAAGGCAAGAGTCACCAGAATGAGGGGTTACTTGTATACAGAACTCCCAGTTGCAGTCTCGGGTGGAAGTGGCCACTGGCGAAGCCAGGGCTAGTCCTGACTGAGTCCAGCCAGACCTGAGAGTGTCGACTGTCTGTTATGTGGGTGATGACGGTTACTTTTACATGATTGTGAGGAGAGTTCAAGTGTTCTGTCATTGGTGTGTTGCATTTGCCCGAGCGGATGCCGCCTGCAAAGGTCTTCATCGCATCGGCCGAGGGACGTCTTATTC